TTGAAAGCAACGAGCTTTTAATCTCGGCATAAAATAAAATTGGCCCGTCTCAAAAGCAGGAGTCTTCGAGCTTTAAATCAAACTCCGGTTTGTCGTCGTACAATTTTATTTCAAATTGTCAATTCAATTCGATTGATGCGAGAATCGCCAATCTACGTCACGAAAAACGCGAAAGACACGAAATGTATGACATCGCGAGTTTCAAATCTAGCAACAGTCATCCAACAAGCGGACGATACTGTTCGAGGGTTAAGATCCATTAACATCGGGACGTCGAACGCGAAACAACCGGCTGAATGCGCGTCACGTTCGAAGATCACGAAACGCTCGGAGGTAGGAAAAGCGAATCCTATTCCTCCTCCGTGGAAATTGATGTAGCGTATACACGGACCGGTCCTTCGATAAACGGACATCTCTCTCCAAGGGACAACTTCTCTGGAAGAAACAGCGGGATCGAGAATAGGGGAGGGAGGGAGGGAGAGTACGGTTGGTAGTCTGTAGGTTGTGGATGGCAAAAGGCCATCTTGGTGGACGAGTTTCAGGATTACGGTGTATCGAGTTAACGAGGCTACGGGTTTCTAATGGCCCGGGGCTACTTATTTCGCATATCAGGCGCTAGCCAGACCACGTAACGTTTCTATGGGGCGAGGGGGCGAACAAGGCCAGCCAACACCTCAAGGCAAAAGCGGCCGCGTATAAAAACGTGAAATATCATGGGGCATTTTCTTATCGCTGGCCCCGGCCCGTATGTAAAAACGAATAAAATTGCGGTAAGTTGCGTCGAGGGAACGCGCTGGCCGGGTCGCTCCGGGCCAGCAGACCGAATCTGATGCGTTCTGTTTTTGGTGAATAAATTTAGACATAAATCGTAGAAGCCTCGCCTAAGGAACCGGTGGCTTTTGACTGAGTTTCCCTCCTTCGTGCATTGAAATCCGGCTGGATACATCGCCACGTATATCAAGGTCACTCCGTTTTAACAAATTCCGTTTCACCTACGCTCGAGAGGACTTGAATTTTCAAACTTCATCCTCCGTAAAATCCGTTCGAGAAACGATTTTCTTTCCCCAGAGGAATCTTACCGAGCGAGAGGGAAACGCGTTTCACGCTTCCGGCTTAACACCTGCGGCAAACACTCGCGCCACGTGTTTCTAGCCGACTAACCCCATGCTCATCACACTCCCTCCTCATTGCATTTCATCTTTCCATCGCTCGATCCGACCGGAGAGCGACTTTGCTCCAACCGGTGAAAACAGCAGCATCGACGAGTTCTTTCTTTCTTTCTTTTTTTTTTTTTTCGCGCTCAAGTTTCCCACTGGTTCTCATCGGTGCAAATGATACACGGCGGAATCGAGCGGATTAAATACAGCGGAGCTCATCAACAAGGACCACGGGCGCGCGGGCGGATATATCGTGATTGCGTAATATCGCGCAAGCGGCGCGCGCGAGTAAAATTGCGTAAAAGCAAATATGCAATAGACTACCTGAACGTCCTGTATTGTACGATTGTCTCCGTTTCTCCTCTCGCCGGCGTTTCGCAGGAAATGCCTGCCTTGCATTTCCCGGCATTGTAACCACCCCGTTCGCTTCGGAGTATTGCCAGCCTCAACGTTTGAATTGCATTACCTATTATTGCTTATTGTTCGCCGCTAGCTTCGTTCGCCAAGCTTCCCGTCTCTCTCTCTCTCTTTCTCTTTCTCTCTCTCACACACACACACTAGACTGTGTCTCGTCTTTTTGATCAACCCCTCCTCTTTTTTCAATCCTCCGCTTGTTTCTTCCGCTCCTACTTCTCCGCGAATTTCGTACATAGCTTTTGCACTCCAAATTAATCCCTTCGCCAGATCGCGTTCACTCTTTTTGCACTATAAATCAACCCTTTCTGCAAGTCGTATTCACCTCTTTTTTCCAAATCGAATTCACCCTTTTGCAAATCGAGTTTTTCTGCAAATTTGCTTCCTCGAGCCGTTCTGACAAAAATAGAATCCAATGTAAATTTATTATTTCGAATAATTCAGGAGAATAATTATTATTGTTTCGAAATTCTTTTATTGCATGTGTGTAATAATAGTTGAAGACATATTTAACAAAAGTATTCGACTTGCCGCCGAACAGGATAGTATTCATATAATAATCATGATAATCTGTAGAAATAATAGTTGTAACAGACTGATTAATGACATCAATTAAATTATTTATAGTTTGAAGGGTCGGTCAATTTCTGAAGAAATTTTTTCCGATGAAGAGTAAGATGGTCGAAATTAGTAATGTACGTCACTCCACTTTTGAATCATCTACAAGGTGGATTTAATTTGAACTGCAGAACCTGTAAAAACATCGTTGCTCGGATCGAAGCGGCCGAAGCAAGAATACAAGATTGGTCGGTATATTAAAAAAGAACTTGTAAAATAGTCAAGTATATACTTTTTCAATTTTTTATGAGCAATTATTCTTGATGGAGAAAATTTCCACCACATTGTAAATCAATGTCTCGATATGCAATACGGTCTCTCTTCATTATTTTCAGCAGTCTGTTGCAGAAATAGTAATGCAAAGGGTAAAAAAAAATTCACCTCTCATCTTTTAAATCGCAAAGAAATAGCTTTCGTTTCCAACGAGATCTTGTATCGTCCCGATTCGTCCTCGCTCGCGTCGCGAGACAAGCGAGATCCGAGACGAAATGCCATTAATCTAATTCAAGAGGTAAATGACACGAGAAGTGTATAATCGGCCGCGCCGATGGCAGGATCTGCTCTCGAACTCTAGAAATATCGTGCCGCTTCTCGCTCACGGGAGTCGTTCGAACTCCTTCTCGAACTCGCGTCTCGGTTTCTCATTCGCGTTTCGTAGTTTCACTCCCTCTCGGTGTCAATCGACGGGAAAGGCCGGGGCATTGTGCGCGTCGAAATTGTGCGTAACTACGACAATAGTTACGGCGAGGATCGGCGAAATTAATGAAAACTCGCGCCCGCCACTTTGGGAAGAAGGGGTGAAGAAAGGGACGAAATCCTCGGCCCCGGGGATCCTGATATTTCAAACGGAGACGCGAGGAGGGGGAGGGAGGGATCGGCTAATCGTGACAAATACTGATCCCGGATTGCCGAATTATAAACTAATGTCTTGAGGAAACTTTGCCCCGAATGGGTTTCTCCCCTTCTTCTCAATTACAAGACCTGATTGCGCCTTCCCAGCAATCGAACCAGCCGTCCCTGCTTCGTCCCTCTTTTGCCCCCTTTTTCGCTCATTGAAATCCTCCTTTTCGAGAAATGCGCTCGACCTTTCGGAGAATGCGATGTTGACAATTACAAGCTTTATACGGATACGGTGGAATTGTGAAAATGAATTGCAAATTTATTATTCTATAGACTAACGACAATTGCAATAACAATAATAACAACGACAATAATAATAATGATAACACGTTCTCAGTTAAGAGGAAACAAAGTTCAACGAGAGAACTGTAGCTGTCAGAATACACTCTCGAACGTTTCAAGCATCAACTAGTTTTACGTATGAAAAAAAAAAAGGAGAAAATTAAAGAACCTGTATACGTGAAAGCAAGCATGCGGCTTTTTTTTCTTTATAACGAAAAACAGACATAGCAAAAGTAGCGACGTGACTGGGGGTCGCTACGGTTAGGGGGCTAGACGGACCGTGGCAATGTAGAACGGTCGGCGGAGAAAGGAAATTGGATGATATTTCCCGTGACGATCAAACCTTATTGCCAATTGAAAGAGGAAAGTTCGCAGTACATTTACCGGGGAAATCAGCGGTGGCACGGTGAACCAGAAAATGGCCCGGCCGTTGCGATCCGCTGTTGCAAAGGGTAACGATTACTCGGGCCTATCTATCGCTCGCAGTAAATTATAAAAAAAAGATATCTGATATCTCAACATGTGCATCACCTCTTAAACAGAAAAAATCATTTCCGTGAATGTGCACGACTGAACTGTGCACCAAAGTTACATATCACTCACCTTGGAAGTATATCTTTGTCAGAATCGTAACGAATTAAAAATGTTCGCCCGAGTATTTTGCACAATGAACGAATGAATTTCGACAATCGAGAGGGATATTGCACGTTTCTTTCTGAATAAACTGATGGCCCTTTTGCTCCTATATCAGACCGTCCCGAATCGATCGAACAGCCGTAAAAATCAAGCCGCTAATTTCCCCATAGCGACGTAGTAACGTTGACCGTAATGTATTCCCGCGTTTCGTTTCATTTATCTGATCTCTCCCATTACGAGGTATTCCGGTAATACCATCAGAGGCTGAGCGATCGCGCGAAAGAGGACTTATAGTTCCATTCCGATGTCCCTCGTCATAATTTCATATATCAGAATCCGCAGAAGGTCGGCACGGACGGGTGAGCGAGCGGTGAAAGGGGAGGTTCTCGCGAAAAGACATCACATGTAGGGAGACAGGCAGCCCGGGATATAATGAGAGCCAGAAAGCGTCAGCGGCATCTAATGTCGGAAATTATAGCATATTGCCAATAAAATCCCAGGGCCGGGGGACGTCCGCCCTTGTACGAGCCAACTAAACAGGTTTCTCCTGCTCTTCGGGGGCGGCGGGCTTATTGTAACGAACGTTGGAACCACGTTTTGCCATTACACAAGATCTCGTCCCGGGGGAACGACCGATACACCGATAATACCGCTAGTCGATAACTCGCTTACAGTTTGACGCTCCTTTCCTTCCTTCGCCTCCTAATTCAAGTCGCGAAACTAAGGGAAACGAACTGCTCCTAACGTGCGTCTGCTCTGTCCCTCTTTCTCTTTTTTCTGTTTCCTTTTCTGGTGTTTTTTATTCGAGTTGACGCGCGATGCATAAGACAGTCGTAAAGTAAAAATGGAACGAGTAACAAGTACGCTGCGAGTGTTTATAGACGTTTCGATTGACTTCAATCGAAAGTGGGAGTGATTCTCTGTTAATTACGTGTAACGCTTTGCAACTTGTCAGTCTTGAGAACATCGTTGCGAACAGTGGTGTATTTGCCGTCAGGTTGACGCAGGAGACAGGCATTCACGCTGCTGCTGCTGCTGCTGCTGCTGCTGCTGTTGCTGCTTCTTCGAACTTTCATCCAACCTGACATTCTTCCGTGCCTCGCAGCATTTTTAAAACCGATACCGCAGCCGCAGTGCACTTCAGAACAGTCGGAGGCGTCTCTCTGGATCTGACGTGCGTCTACGTTCGAGTCGTTCAACCCGAAACTGCTCTCTGTCTGAAGCGTTTAAAACTATAGAGAGTATAAGACAGGAAGTAACAGTTAATACGCTTATTAATACATCGAAACGGATAAAAAGACGGCTAATTCGACATCCTTGATATATCGAAGTTTGAAAAAAGGGCAAAGAACGAAGTACAGAAGCCTCATCTTTATTCAAATTAATCTTCGATGCCCCGAATCGTTATATTTTCTTTTTTTTTTTTCTTTTTTTTTGCGAAAATTTCATCTACAGACACCGCAAAGAACGTCAAATTTACAAATGTGGATAACAACGTTCGAAAATTACTTCAAAACGTAAGACGACAAACTGTCGCTGATTATGAACGTACTGGGCAAGATTCCTCTGTGTCAAAGTCCTCGTTTTTCATCGACAGTTGCGAACTTGACGAATGGACGCTGGACGAATTAGCAATTGACGGAGGTAATTCTTCGTATCTAGCTTCCCTGTCAATAAAAGTCTGCTTCCAGTGTTGATTATTGTTGCAGTTCCTCAACTTCTGCAATTGATAAGCAATGGACCTCTCGCGACTGTTGTTGTTGCGCAACCTTCGATAGCTCCACGTGAAATTCGACAATATCGATTTCTGCAATTTGGTCAGCTGTTCCTTCTTCTTCTCAACCTCTATCCTCAAACGTTGCACCATACATTCGTATTTCCTTATCATGCTGTTCCTGTGCTTCTTGAGCAAATCCATCTCCCTCTCGTTCTCGCATATCCGCAGCTTCAACTTACGAAATTCTTCTCCCTCGTCTTCTCTCATCTCCTCGCGAATTTTCGTCGAAGGATCGACGATCGCGTTTTCCAACCTTTCCTCCAGACTTCTCCTCGTCTCCTCGAAATACGCCAGTTCCTCTTTCACGCGGCGCACGGTCTCGTTCGATCGACCGATCTCCTCTCCCAAACTCTTCAGCGTCTCGTCGTTCGAATCGTTCGCCAGCGCCGCGTCGTTCACCTCCGCCCTCAACGAGACCAGCTCGTCATCTCTGCGCCGAATTTCCGACGACAGCCACTTCAGTTTCGTTTCCAGCAACGACTGCGTCTCCGAGTGTTCCTGCAATCGCTCGCGATAACTGTTCCCCTCCTCCCGGCGCTCTTCGAGAACAGTCTCGAGCCCGTTAACCTTCTCGCGCAGCTGCTGCACCTCGAGCGGATCGCCTGGCGCCTCTGCGCTCGTCACCGAACCTTTCGCCTCGCCCGATTTTTCGATCCGCGCCCGACTCTGCTCGACGAGCGATTTCAGCGTCTGCTCGTGAACGAGATGGAGCACGGACAATTGATTCTCGAGAGAGGCACACTTCTTCAAGCAATTCTCCAGTCGCCTCTGGCACCGGCTATCGTCCTCTTCCTTGACCAGAAGTTCTCGAGTCAACTCGCCGACACGCTCGTTGTACTTCCGCGCGTCTACTTCCACCATTCTCGTCAGTTTTTCGTTCTCCTCCTCGAGCTCCTTCATTCTCTCTTCGCACACTGACAATTTACTCTTGCAATCCGCCACCTCCGACTTGCTGCCGTGCGCGATTTTTCTCAAAGCGTCCATCGCCGATCTCAAGTCGCTAGCTTGACGAGACAGTTCCTCTCGCTGTCCAGCGTCCTCGTGTCGATCCATCGCGTCGTCGCACGTCGTTTGCGTGCAGCTCTCCTTCGTTTCTTCTTCCATGATCGAACTGCCGTTGATGCTAGTCGATCTCTGGCTTCTGCAACTAAAGTCAATGCCAGAGTCCTCTTTCGCGTTGCCGCTGTCGATGGACGATCGAAACGAATCCGAGTCCACGGAGACTTTCTTCGACGAGCTTCTACCCACGCGATTCAAATACCGTTCCACTCTCGTGTCCACGCGAGCCTGCAGAGTCGTCAGTTCTGCGGCGTTGTCGAAAAGGTCCTCGTTGCTGAGCGAACGAGTCAAATCGCGTTTTCGAGTCGAGTCACAATCCCGTGACTCGGTCAACTCTTTCCTGAGCAAGTGCCGAACGACACTCTCATCTCGCGTTTCGTCCTCGAAATTCCTCGCTCTGACTTTCGCGTCCCGCAGCTCCTTCTCCATCTCAACGGATCTCGCCGCCATCTGCACGTAATCGTCGTTTATCCGGCTCAAGCTCTTCTCCAGAGATCGCACGCTCTCCGCCTTCTCGTCGAACGCGCGTTTCAACTCGTGCACCAGCCAGTCGACGTCGTTCGCGTCGTTCAGCGTCGCCCTCGAAGACAACTCGGGAAAGTGTATCAGGATCAAGTCGCGGAAACCTTTCAGCTTCTCCCTGGCCAGTGCCAGTTCGAAGTTACACTTGTTCCTGTCCGTGCAGAGCAGCTCGTTCTCTACTCGCAAACTCTGGACCATCTCTCGTAGAACGACCACCTTCGACGTGACCATCGCGTTCTCCGTCTCGAGTTCTCTGTACATCGATCGAACACCGTCACCGTCGTCGTTCTCGTCCCGTTTCCTCTTCTTGCCGCGCGTTATGCTGTCGATCCGCTCCTTGTAGAACGTTTCCACCTGGTTCACCGACCACCTCAGCAAATCTCGTCCCTCGTCCTCGATGTCCTGCGCCCGTTTTTTCCAAGCGGATTCCAACTCGGCGATAGCTGCCGAGTACTGGTCCACCAGCTCTTGCCTTATCTCGCACTCGCGATTCAAGCTCTCACATTCCATAGCTTTCAGACGCGCCGCCAGTTCCGCGTGCCTCTCCTCCAATCGTTCGTAATCGGCGAACGAGTGCTCCGACTGTGTTTCTATCGAGATCTTCTCAGTCGAGACCGTGGCAGCTTTCGCAGTTTCCAGTTCCTCCGTTAGTTCCTTGTTCCGTTGCTTCAGAGTTTCGTACACCTCGAGATCGATCGTGATCGCCTTTCGCGGGCTTCGAACGACAGACATCGACCACTGACTGCTTGGTATCGCCACGGTGAATGTGTTTCGTCTCGACATCTTCGACTCGCGGCTTAATTTCCTCAGCATCGCCGAGAAATTCAGAACGTTCAACGTTTCCAGCAGCGAGTCAACCCCGACGTCGATGGTGACGATGAAGCTGGCGTTTTCTCGGCCGGCTAGAACCTTCCGAAGCATCCTGGTCAACTTCGACTCTCGGAAAGGACCGAAGGTTGCCACGTTGTCGCCGATCGTTGTCGTCGAGCGACTGTCGCGTAGAGATTTCAAACACCTTCCGAGCACCAGCAGGCTGTTGTTTATGTTCCTCGATTCCGTTAACCCGATCCCACTTTTCTCCGATCTCTTCAGCCTCCTGGAGCCGGCCACGTCGCAGAACGTCAGCGTGCTGACGCGAACGTCCTCCGGAGCGTTCTCTTTCTCGTACTTCAACAGCTTCAAGGCGAGGAACGTGTGGGACTGCGAGCTCGTAGCTGCCACGGTCATCCTCGACCGAGCGAGCATCAGCAATTGGCATGCCTCGAGAGCCGTGATAACGTGAACGAGTTTCAAACCGTTCACGCGGGCGAAGCCGTCCTTCCGAGCGGTCACCTTCAACGGCGCTCGTTTTTCCTCGTCGTCGCCCGCCAGAAGATCGTACACGCTGTCGTTGCGAACTTCCACCGCGGACATCCACACGGAGGTCATGCACTCGTCGCTCCAGAGCTCCCGCTCATCCTCCTCCTCCTCCTCCTCCTCCTCCTCCGACTCCGCGACTCGAGGCTTCGAATTGCTCAAGGACAGTCGAGTCTGCGCCAACTCTTCCCCGGCGGTCGTCTTCGCGTTTATCAAACTCGCTCTGCCGCGTATCTCCGTTGCTCGCTGGCGCTCGTCCAGAGGGACAATGCTGTCGTCGTCGGTGACCTTGTACCAGGGAGTCAGCGTACAGTTGACCGTGGAGAACAGGAACTCGATGGCGTGAGCGATCACACCGGGCGAGTCCGGCGTTCCGTACAGAGTGTACGTCTTCCCGGTGTTGGACGCACCGTAGGTTATGATGGTCGAACTCTCGCCGAGGAGGAAGCGAATCACTCGACGCCGTACGCTTTCACGGAACAGATCAGCCTGGGTGGCGTCCGAGTCGAAGATCCTCGCGAATGAGTATCTTTTGTCTATGGCCTTTCCTCTTTTCACGCGGAGCGTTGTCGAGCCGAGCACCGTGTAAACTCTTTCGTTCGCTTCGGCATTCGGCTTTATCCTCAGATAGACGTTGCTCGCGCAAGCAGACAAACAGGTGGACGACGCGCAGCGAGACATAGCGCTCTCGTCGCTTTCCACGCGAGGTTTCGACGTGGGATTCGAGTCGTCAGTGGGCATGTTCCGTCGATATTCGAGCGATAAGAAACGAACTTACAGGGGTTACACGTGTGTCTTGGAAACTATGGAAACTTCCACAGTGTGCAGAGTGAATATTTCCACCGTGTGGCGGGCTCTCCGATTCTTCGAACTTTGATTTTGATTTTAATTTCCTTAAACGATCCCTGGATGCTTGACCGTCGTCAAGTTGAGGCGCTTCGCACCGATCTCGTCCATCTTGGAGAAATTTTTTTTCGCTTCTCGCTAGGTTACGCAACGCGTCACTCTTGCTAAACCAGCAACCGTGAATATAGCTACGTAAGTCGTTGCAGTATATTGTTTTTTGTCTATTCGTTTGTGATATCCACAAGTTGCTTTCGTTTTATTGACGAAATTGAATAATTTTATTAACGAATAACGCCCAGTATTTTATGTTTCATGTTACTGAGTGACATACTATGTATTCTGATTCATTCCACTGTCTCTGCCATATCTCTTTAAATATCGTTGAAAATATTTCGCATTTTTATGTCATTTCTTTTTTATTCTAAAATAAAATTTTAAGCCAAATCTTCTGCCGGCGGAGGAATTTTTTAATGAAAGGACAATTTACAATTTGGCTCTAACAATTAAAAATACACAACAGGGTCGTTGTAATGAAAAATGCACACGTCAAATAATAAATCGCATGAAAACGCATCTGAAATAATGTCCCCTCAGCCAATCGCAAAAGTTTTGAAAAGATTGAGAGACGAAGGAATCAGAATGGATCACTCGTAATTCAGTCAACGAGGAATATTATCCATACAACGTTTATAAATGAAACAGAAGAAACTTTTGGGACAGTCTGATACAACAGAAATGTATCGCGAGATATGTGTATATACAGGGTGGTCTATTTATCACAAACGTTTACCATAAATGAGTGTCGTATCGATCTTTTCTTGCGTTGAATAATCCATTATGAATTACTGACAAATTTCGACACATTGATCAGGATTTCAAGCTGCTAGAAGAGATTATCATTGATGATGTAACAAATGGTAAACATCTTTATTTACATTTGTTAGGCTTTCAATTGTCACGTTTCGGCCAAAATTATTGGTTCAAGACCATGTTCTTCACGTATCTGAACTATTCTTCTCCCAGCTTCACGATCCAATAAAAAAAAAATAAATAAATAATACACAGTTATATGAAAAAAAGCATCAATGATTGAAAAGTCCTTGAAAAAGAATGACCTTGAAAATCAAATTTCTACCAGTTATTGGCCTTTCGATACCATTCACGTTCCACCAGGAAAGCCATTTCATACCATTTACCAGGCATGAAGAATAATTATTCACAAAATATATTTATGTTAAACTACAGACAATATATTAGCAATATAATACACGTGGAGCGTCCGTCTATGTTACACATACGTTATTCTTCCGTTAAAACAAAAGATCATTGTCCGCGATCATCGATCACGACATCCACTCCTACAAACGCTTATTTCGCTGCATATTAATAGCTGGCCACGCTCACATCATTGTACAAATGAATTTCTCAACAAGGTAAAAAAATAGTTTTCTCCTAATTCGAAAAGATATTTTCGGTTCTGCCTGACTTAAACGAACCACCCTATATATACGAAAGACGGGATAATTTACTCATTTCCAAACTCTGCGTCGCCTTTATCGAATCGATCTGCTTCCAGACTCGGCTTCGGTCGACTCCAACAAATCTACGGGTCCGATTTGTCTGGCAATTATTCCGAATGACGGTCGCACGAACATAGTTCCCGGAGCGGAGGGGAGGCGAGAGAGAGACGTCGCCGGATGGAATCCGAGGAGAGACTGAGGACCGCGTGCCTGGAAATATCTTCAAAGTCGCGGCGGGTAAGCGGCAATTTATACGCGCGTCGCTCGGCTCATTAACCGCAGCCAATCAAAGAGGAAGCTAATAGGCCGTGGTCCGCCGGAGCATGATCCGAGAGAGACCGCGCGCATGATCCACGAAATAATCCCTCGCGGTGATCTCGGCATCGGAATCATACGTATCGCGAGCACAAGTCGGCCACTGTCCGCGCGTTCGTGGGGGCCTCGCGCGGCGGTGTCTTTCAAGTCACAATCGACTCCTTGTATCGACGAGGATGATGCCTTCCTCTTTCCCTGCACTCGCGCCGAATCCGCGTTTCGCCCTTTCGTCTTCGCCGCCGAGCCCTCCATCCGCTGTATATCGCCTCATCGCACACGCTCCTCTTCCCTCCAGCCGTTCGTTTGCAGCCGAAGCCGAAAGCTCGCCGCCATTGGTGGTCTTTTCTTTTCAACCGTTTCGGAAACTTTCGACGGCGCCACGTCACGGCCGTCCCAACTTTTCGGTGGAGAAACGCCGCCTCTGCAGTTTTCTCGACCACGATGAAGGGTCGAGGTGGCAGCTTCTCGGAAGAATCCGCCACCTTCCCGAGAATTCGAATGCTCGTCGCCCGACGACGAGCAACAAGTTGAATTCCAAGGTGCACAAGTTTTTGACGCCCGGATTATTCAACGCGGCTGGGTAAACTGTTTCTCCATGGAAAGAATAATTGATACGGGAATCTGATGGCTCTTTGTGAATGTACTCGCTGGATGGCGAGTTTGGTTCTTTCTTCACTCTGTCGTGTCTGTTCGAAGGATCCTCTGATCTAGGTTTTATTTGGTAATTTGTAAAACTGTGAATTTAGAGTAGAAATTAAACGTTTAGTCAACGATCGAAACTTTTCCATATAATCTTTGATCGCGGCTAACAATTAACGATTTCTTACGTTAAATTTCTACTTTAGTCGTTAATTTCACGATTAAGTAATTAAATTCTTACGTCTATCGTTAATCGTTGTCAAGTTCCTTTCAATTGTAATCGTCGAATGCCTCGATTAACGATTAACCGCTGAAATTCTATTCATAGTGAAATTGTTGAGTTCGCAATTAGAGGTTGAGATTGGAAGAGGTTGCGATAATGCGCAGAGAGACAATAAATATCGCGAACAGTGAAAAGAAATCAAGTCCTTTATTATTGCTCGTTTATTTAATAAGTAAATCGGGTTTGTGTCACAATCAAATTATAATCATTTCGATGTAACAACCAACAGTTGATAATTGACAATTCAATCAACTGCCGATTAATTTCCTTTAACGAACGATCGACGGTAGCTCTATTAATCGATGAAATCAATCATCGATTAATGACATCGAAACTGACAATTAATTTTCCATTACATCAAATCGACGCCCAACTTTGTCGTACAATAACTCTTTAAACACTTTCATCTTAATAGATACATCATGTTTCCACCTTCGATGTGACTTACGATACGTCGTAAAAAAACACCAAAGAAAACGAAAACAGGTGTCGACGGGGGTGAGGGAACAACGATTCTTTACCTACGTGTAAAAGACGCTGTGTATGAAAAATAACAGCCTCGCCCCCTTGTATCGGGCGTTAATGTTTCTACGGTGAATTGATGTTCCACCTTTATGGGTTATTTATTTAATACTGACAAATTTCGCCTGGCACTCTCGCCATCGGGACTCGTTCACCGCCGCCAGGCCACTTCTTTTATGGCGTCTTTAATGGCGCTGGTGAACGAAACGGGAGCCAGCGTTCGTGATTCGAAACTCTCCCCTTTCTACGTTATACTCTTGGATTTCTCTTCGCTCGCTGTTTCGCCCGATGTAGACGTAACGCAGAGAAACAAATTGTCTGTACCACTTTCACTTTCAAATCGATTTCCATCGCAGATTTTTACTTGGTTATTGCAAATATCTTTCGGGGCGGTACATTCGCGTCGCGGCAGTGGCAATGTTCGCCGAAAGTCAAACAAAAGTTTCAGTGATATTTGTAATAATGTTGTGTTTAGTTTCAAACGAAATATTTAATATTAAAGATGTGATGTGCTATTGTAATTTTAGTGTCATATCATTGCAATTTGTCTGAGATTTACGAACCGACGAATTTCCTCACGTCTTTTTTCTAAAAAAAAAAAAAAAAAAAAGACTCGAAAAAATCTCTAGTTGAACACTTAGAGACCAACGTCCTTATACCAAATTTATCGATCCGTCAACCTCCATCGATCTTTCTTCATCCATCCAAGGTCTTAATCTCGAAGCCCGATAATGTTGAAACCAGCATCCGGGAGTCTGTATCCGCGGGAAAGACGTTGGCCGCGTTCTCAAGGAGCTTCGACGTCCCGCTTCCGAGATATTAGATTTATCCATTTGTTTGCCGAAAGTCTCATAAATATAAGCTCCCTTTGACAGCGTCCCACGGGTCTTATCCGGCGCCATGATCTTGCGTGGGTGGCCGAGAAAGAGAGAGAGAGAGAGGGAGAGAGGAGAGATGAAACGAAAGGCGCGCGGGCAGAGGGAAAAGAGGGAAAAGGAAACGGAGGAGGCATCGATCCGAGGCTACGGTTTTCCCCGCGCGTTGCCATCAGTATTCCCAATTAACAGGCTGCTTTCATCGGGGTCGGCTACACACCCGGGGCAGGGATCCACATCGGGAGAGCTTACATTTATAAATATGATGATCGTAAAAGCAGGCATTACCATTCGATGAGACGAGAAGAAGTCTCTCTTTACTGGGTGGTTTCTCCGTCGCCGTGACGCGAGCCGGGAGAGCCTTATTGCGCGGCAAAAGCGACGAAATTGATGGCGACGCTCGGCGCTGGGGTGGAAATTTTACGGATCGCGCCAGGCGCAATCTAAAGGGAATAATTAATGCCCCCGGTCCCGTGAGCTTATCGAACCGGGTCCGTGATGCTCGGCCCCGATTTGTGACTGATTCGCTCGTTACCTTAAAAATACGATCACTCGGGGAAACTCAACCGCGGGAAATTTCTCCGTTAACGCAACCTCGAAAATCTGCGAAAGTGTAACCGTTCTCGGTTAATTTTGGCAAAAAATTATTTTCCACAGCGATCGAAACGATGGAAAATTATCTTAGTTCGACGGTTTATTAAGATCCATTTGTAACCATGGTCTTGATATTGTAATAAGATT